AATCCATTCTTTATTTTGTAGTTCAAAAACGTCAAACTAACTATGATATAAGCGTGTATTTATCACGTTTAATGCTGTATGATGAACTAAGCACTGCTCTGCGCTCAAATTCATGTACATACGTCTTACTCTGTGCTTGTGTATGTTATATAAAAAATTAATTATTGATTCTTAATATTTTCATCTAACGTTAGTTTTAGAAAAAGATTAAATAAATTATAACAATTATATAAATTTAATACATTTATTTGTGACAGTAATTTAAGAAAAAAACAGTTTTATTAAGTTTTTATTATACATCATCTTCTGAATCAGCGACATCTTCCCACTCCATAGCAAAATAAAATTTCCCAATTTAATCCATCATAGTAAAGCTCAAGCCATAAATTTTCACGTTTAAACTTTTGACTCAACTTATGCCAAGGAAACGGTGGTTCAAAAAGAAACACATGGGGTTCAACGTTCTCACTTAACGAAAGAATTGCTAATTCTTTTAAGATATAATCATTGCCAGGTTTTTTAATGCCTTGCATTTCCACTACATACTCCATTATAGCATATCATAGACTGAGTTAAATGACTATTATTGTTTCATTTTTTATGAGGAAAATTAGACAAGTTTCCTCACATCCCCACTCACAGTATTATACTCAACTATGCGATCATGTAGAATCAGACAATAAGCAGCTGCTTCCTGCGCAAAATTATCTCTTGACTCGAATTCCAAACACAAATCAACTGGTGCGCTTTTCAAAGCTTTATTTCGTTTTGAACAGTCAATAACGATGAGTGCCATGTTTTTAATAATATCATTTTTATTAATCATAGGTTCTGTTTCTTTACCATAATAGACATTTTGAAAATTTCTATACATATTGTAGAGTAATGAAAGTTGATTATAATTAATGTTGAGATTAAGATTTTCATGGGGAAAGTACTGAGAGTTAAGAAATAACTTAACATTATTTATACTACAGTGATCAAAGCGACTAACATTAACAGCTTTTTGACCTTTACGATTCGTTTGAAAGCCTAAAACAGCAAAACGTTGCTTTTCCAGTTGATTTGATGTTCTTACGGTCCAAATATATTTCATAGTTGTTGGAAGAAGGGGATATTCATATAAGTCCCAATTGCGAAAACTAATGGAAATCGGCTTTTTTTTGCAATGACATTAAGCAGACGAGTTTTAAGTATGTTTGACGTACTTAAGGCATGAGCCATTCTATTTAAGTCAATGTAATTTTAAAGTCTTTGCAAAAATCATTAGCAATTATTTGCACAACTGCATTTAGATCATTTCTCGATCTCGTTAGGATTAATCCATTCTTTGCATTTACTACAACCTTACGATAGTCCTCAGCAAAGCCAAATATCATGCAGAAACGTATAGAAATATTAAAAAACCTTTAGCATTCACTAATTCGTTGGTTTCTGTAATATCTAGGCATCCTGCATTGTCTAGCATTGAACTTTGACCTGAATAGTGTGATATCCAACCATTCATTAAAGTTGTTATACCAACATTTTTGCACTTGTCTATTTCAATGACATTATGTTCGTAGCAAATTTCTTCAAACAAATGACAAATAGCATTATTAACTTACTCAATTCACGTTACTGCAGTATTATTGTTTAATGTAATACGTTCGCAAATATTTAGAGTGTTTTGTGATGATAGAAGACATAAATCTTGATGTTGAATTGAGATGTGAATCTCATCACTTTTGTTAAATGCTGATGAAATGTACGGCTGATGTGCATGAATTTCATAGTGTGCAATTGATTCGTCAAATGTGACACCTGGCTAAATGCTTAGAATTACTACCATCTTTAAAACATCAGGAAAATAAGTAAATAAACTTTAGCCAACGATCACTTTTAAGCCTAGGCTTTTTAAAAACAGTACATTTTAATCTGTTAATGATTTTGTTGCTCGTTGATAACTGATTTGTCCTTCCTATGTTGGTTTACCTATAAATCCTTTATGAAATTTTTTTTTTCTTTATTTCACGACGTATAAAACACCCATTCGTTCAATTTAATTGTTTCACCTGTAGCCTTATTGTAATAACTTCTCCTCAGAAATTTATTAATGTTTCTTCCTGATCCACGATCTAAACTTGAAGATGATCTATTATCTTGATTGCAATGAGTAGGTAAATTATTTGTGTTGGAACTTCAATAATTTTATACCCAGAAGGAACTGCAGAAAAAAATTTATGAATTGTGTGAACTTTATGTTCATTTATATATGCTCAAGTAGTAATGTTACACTTAACTCGAAGTGCATTAACCTTGAGAATTAATACAAGTTTATCTGAGTTGTGAGTTTTATTTGAGATGTGAGTGTGCGTTTTGTTAAACTTAAAACTGATTCCAACGAGTCGTCTGGTTGAAAATCAATTGGGTGGCTACACAGAATCACACTGCAAAGCGTATTATTATTTGGCTTCATACTTATCGAAATATCTTCGGGTTTTAATACATCGATGAGTCAATTTTCTAAGTCTTGAATTTCATGGCTGACCGTTGGTAAAGTTACCACCACTCTACCTACGTAAAATTGATTATTACTCTTGTCAATATTAGGTATAGAATTAAATGTGAGTAATTCCACCAAACCAAGAACGTAATTTTTTTACGGTAAGAGCTCAATTGGAGGAAAATATTGTGCTTCGAGAACATATGATGTACTAGATAAACTTAAAGTAAATGTGTCTCCCATGACGGTTCATCGATAAATAATAAATTTTTTTCCATTACTTCCTTATAAAGGCTTACGGTTAAGATTACTACTTAAAAATTATAGATAGAGATGCCCACAGTTATAAGTATTAAATTCTTATTATCTTTTGTAATTATACTTAATAATACCAACACCAAGGTACAACATCAAATCAAGCGGTGGTTGTAGATCGCCAAAACTATTGAAATACGTTACGTCATCACTTTGTTCTTTATATGCAACCCAATGAGTACCAGGACCTTCATTATTATCTAGATTAACAATAGCTGATTTATTCTGATGTGGGCCACTAAATGGCATATCGTTTCTCATAAATACTCCTTGAAAATGTGGTATCTTTAACACTTTTGCGTATTTCATAATGTCTTTATTTGTTAGAGCTCGATTAGGCAGTTTTACTTCGAAATTTTTTTTTTTTTTTTTGTCAACCCCCTTCCTGGTTTTAAGTATAGACCTAAACCTTTTTTATGCGATTTTAGGAAAAGGCCTTTACCAAGTAAAATAGCTTCTATTTTTTTTTGTGTCTCACACTTTCTTGAAGCTGTTTCTTGGCTTCGTTTGCTTGATTTTTCGCTTTATATAGACCACTTGCACCATAAGCAGGTGCCCCTCCAGCACTTCGACTTGAAAGTGCGGATACGATATGTGGTAAAAAACCTCGAATCTTTTGAGGTATGTGTAATATGATTAGTGTTGTGGTATTTTTCTTACCACCAGCTCTTTTCATGGCTGTTAAAGCTCCCTTCTAAGCAGAACTTACAACTTTGCGAGCACATTTACTTGTAACCATGGACTTTTTAACACTTTAAATTAATTTTTTCAAAGTCACTATCTTTCCAACTTCCTTTTTCTTACTTTTTTTGTATTTTCATTCTTTGATCAACCCATTTCTAATGATGATTTTACTTTCATTTCACTGCTCGCAGCAAAAGCGGTAGTCTTTTCACTAATACTTTAATCTTAAGCTTGAAGGCGTTGCCAAGCCTTTTCTGATAGAATTTTGTCTGCTACGTTTCTAGCCATAATTTCGTTAGGGTTTTGGGAATAAGCTATCTCGTGTTGCTTACAAGCTTCATCTAATAGGTTCATGCCTGGATCTCCATGGGCTAATCTCTTAGCTAGTTTAGTGCATGGTCCGCAATGCTGATATCCTGCCACTTGCAGTTCTACTGGCAGTTTGTTTATGAATGTATTTATGACACCACGACCCTTTCGTCAATAAATAATCATTACTTTTCAAGTGTGCAACGTTAACTGCACTCGTTAACATCAGTATCACGCTATTTATGTTAAAAAAAAATAGGATTAAAGGATTAAAAATATGCTAATTACCCTATCACTTCCAGTCTCAGTTAAGTTAGCATACAGTTAATTTGAGCTTTGTGGAATAGAATATTAAAATTTCCGTTGTAAATTTTGATGATATTGTTGAACAAAATTATAAAATAAAACGCCATGGTAATTTGCTACCCAATACTATAGAAGCTGTTTTTTGCGGTCCATCAAACTGCGGAAAAACAAATAGCTTACTATCTCTTATTACTCACACCAATGGATTGAGATTTAAAAATATTTATTTGTGCTCAAAATCGTAGAATCAACCAAAGTATAAGTTTCTAAAAAAACTATTAGATCCTATAGATGGCATAAAATATTTTTCATTTAGCGAGCATGAATCAGTTATATCACCGGATAAGACACTACCCAACTCTATAATTATATTTGATGACATTGCCTGTGAAAAACAAGATAATGTAAGAGCCTTTTTCTGCATGGGGCGTCACAAAAATGTTGTTTTCTTTTATCTTTGCCAATCTTATGCTCAAGTTCCAAAGCATTGAGTCCAAGATAGTTTAAATCTCTTAGTAATATTTTGACAAGATGATATGAATTTGGAACACATCTATAATAGTCACGTTATTATCGATATGCCGTATAATGACTTTAGAAAATTATGTGTTAAATATTGGTGGGGAGTTGGGAAACATGGATTTGTTGTAATATACAAAGAAAGAGATGTAAATAATAGTACGTATAGGAGAGGATGTGACTCCTTCGCAATAAATGTTCCTCATTTTCAATGAGTATGCATCAGTCTTTTGTTAACTATAAAGCGGTAAATATGAATGCATTTCATAAGGAAAAACACATTCTTCAACAAGTTGAAAAAGCGAGAGAACCTGTTAAATGTAAGAATTGGTTGTTAAAGTTAGAAAAAGAAAATTTTTAAACACAAATTAGTGAGACTTTCAAGCCTATTACTGATCCGCTTCATAAAATCATCTATAAAACATATGAGAAAGAAAATGTACCGCAAAGCTTCGAATTTCAGTCCAAAGAGCTTTTTAAGCCTTTTAAACAAAAAAAAAATATCGACACATCAATGTTTCAATCAGCTAATAGTAACAGTGATAATGATGAAAATACGTTTTTATCCAATGATGTTATCAAAGACTATAATACTGATGTCGAAAACACCGAACGATTGTTGTGAAGCCAAAAGATGTTTCAGTAGTTAATCAAAAAAATATTTTACAAGAATTTATGTATTCAAAATAAGGAACAAAATCAAAATTAAAAGTTGGTAATAAAGTACGTGTGAGTAATACTAAACAAGTCTTTAAAAAACGTTATACACCTAACTGGTCGACAGAAATTTCTACTGTAACCCAAGTAGTACCAACAAAGCCATTCACTTACCATTTGAAGGATTATCAGCAGCAGCCAATTTCTGGTGGTTTTTACGTAAGAGCTGCAGAAAACCAAGTATCCTAATACTTAGCTTGTTGAAAAAATTTTACGCTGACGAAAAATTCAAATTTTCGTTAACTGGTTGGGTTTCGACAATACCCACAATAGTTGGATTTTAAAAAATCAATTTTAATTTCAAAAATATAATGAATAGGAAACATATGGTGAATGCATGGAAAAAAATAAAGTAAATAAAAATACTTGAATTGTAAAGAAGTTAAATTGGTAAAGAAATTTTTCTGAAAACAAAATACAACATATAGTTTTTTGTTATTTCCACAAAAACTATTTCACCTATTCACTTGAAAATTGAATATGACAACCATTTTAAGTTTTGAAGAGCTCCATTTTTTGCATGGAATCTATTAGATTATTATACAGTACTTTATTATCAACAATATTCTTGGACATTGCACTAGGTAAAAATAATTGAAACTCGTCATTGAGTTCCACAACTGCCTTTATTCCGTATTTAGTGTTAACTTTCTTTAATTTTGTAACCATGTAGCTGTGGTTTACTATCATCTCAGTAATTTTTTTGCATGGGAGGAAGCCTCTAGAAGCGACTTTATTTAAAGCTGTCAGATCGGACATCTGCAACAAAGAAACACAAAATTTTTACTAATTTTAATAGTTATGAAAATAGAAAAAATACGTAAAAAAATATGTTTTCGTAAATATCATGGTTTTTAATTTTATATATTAAACTGTATGTTTTAGTGTACAACAGTTTGCAATCATTTTTTAGTTTAGAAATCATGTAATCATAATGAAAGCGGTATACAAGCGTTTTAGACAAGTCCAATACACTGAGGCCAATATATATGGGCTTTCTCATCATTACTTCCAATCGTTGTAATTGAATCGCTACGAAATTTTCACTAAAAATATCATAGCTATGAACGTTGGGCTTAGCAATAAATGCGCTTGCACCACAACGCCCCTCCCAGTGGTCTAAAAGCTTCACATTGATTCGCTTTCTATGATTCTCCATTGTCTTTCCAAAAATAGCATTATTAAAGTGTTTGAAAAGCATTCTTTCAAACTCATTTTTAGCTTTTTTTCTCTTAACACTATTCAAATCTATGTACTCTTTAAGCCATTTACTTTTCTAACACTTTAAAGCACGATAAATTCTTGTTACTCTTAATCCATGATTTTCATCTTGCTTGAGATCTTCACAATGAAATACATATTTATACTCATTGTATAATGTAGTCATTAATTTTTTCTATTTTAAATTTTGAGCTGAAATGTGTTCAGAGCAAAATGGTAAGTCTTTATGAGAATCATGGAGCATCTCTGAATATTCCAAATCTACTTTTCAAATGCATCTATGATCACTTTCGTTGCTAAATTTATAAAAATCGTGAGATTGTTTGTCAACATTTTCAACCCACTTAAATCCCCCGTAAGGAAGTCATTGAGTCATTGCACAACCACATAAATTATTTACATCCAAATAGATTATATATTTTTTAGCATAATTTTTTCCGTAATCATCCCTATAGTGGTTATTTGCTTTGGCATATCTGTTGCAGCACTGACTTATTCCTCCTCTTAGTCTTTTTTCAACGAACATAAACATATCAATGTCAGTAAAGAGTTATAGTCAAATCTGTGAAAAAGTTATAAATTTATTTTTTTAATGTTCTAGTTAAACTCTTTGTATATTTATATGTAAATATTTGAACTTACTTTGGTTTTTTTCAAAATAGCGTCCCAAGTGAAACCCTTGAGCTGTAAAATAGTGAGCAGCGTCTAATTTGTATACCTCTAGACAATTAATTCCAAGATTTTCAAAAACTTCTGCTAATAGAAGCACATCTGTCTTGAGGTATAAATCTGAATACTGTCCGAGATTTGCTAGATTAAATATTTTCTATATAGTTTGAGCATATATATAATCCTCAGCACTTATAGGCGCGTCATATAATTAGCTATGAAAATCAATTTTCTATGGAAGCACAGTTTCTTAAAGTTTTTCAAATGATGTTACATAATCATATGGAAACATACCCTTTCCTTCGAGAAACTTGATTTGATCTTTAGTGTACGCATCATCTTGACTAAAAGTAGCCTCTAAAATATTATGCTGATCCAAATAGGATGCCAACTTATCGAGTGTTGAAGGCAAAACTCGATAAGAGTCAATAAAACGTAAGTTGATCTTCATTCTCTCAATATATTTAGTGAAAGGAATGTATTTTTCTTTCGCCTGAGGTATTATTTTTACTCTTCCTGGAAGACAAGTAACAAGTTCTTGTATAAATAAATGTGTATCATAGTTACTTAGATTGTGGAAAACTATGGGTATTGTTCACGAGTCTTGGTATTTGAGATTACATTCATTATGTGCAGGTCCTTGATATCTGGAATTTAAAAAAAATTATAAATAAGTTCGAGCAGAAAATAATATTCATTGAAGAAGTGTAACTAAAAATATTTACCATATAGTAAAATGGAAATGATCGTGAATTTCAAAACCATTTTTTATATACTTTTCACACGTATGACATTTGTCAGCGTTGAAAAAATCAAAGCCCTTTTCTTCAGTTAGTAATCTCATTGGTGCTGGATCGTTATACATATCTATAGGAAATGTATTGTGATTTAGTATCGTCAAAACTGCACTTAACATAGTATCCAACACTTAATGCTTCATAGTGTTGTGTTGCTCGATCGCTATTGCGTACAGGTTTTAATAAACACTCAAAGGCTGCATATACTACAAATGGCACTTGATTTTTGTTCTGATAATTTTCAAATTTTCAAATATTATTACCACATTTTGGTAAGCTAACTTTAAATTTATTGACTTTAACGTACTCTACTGTGTGTATTATAAGTTTTTTATTAGTTTTGAAGCAATGCAGATAACGATCGCAAATGTGTATTTTACGTTTACATTTAGTAAGAGAGCTTCTCACAAGCAGAGACAAATCTTTCACCCACACATAATGACAATGGTATTCATCATTATTCGTATGACAAACCCTGCTCTCTAAGCTTTTTTCTGACTCAGCATCTTCTTCGTATGCCTCTCCTTCTTCATATGCCTCTTCTTCTTCTTCGTATACCTCTTCTTTAATTACATTATTAGCACGATTAAGATAGCCATTTGTCTCCTCACTCTCCTCTATATCATATTTTTCTGCATCATCTTTTTCTTTTTCTACTTCTCTTATCGTTTCAAAATTATTGGAATGATCTTCGTTGTTGAATTTTTTTTGTTTTTTATTTGTTTTTCTCTTATCATCCATTTCTATGTACTGACTTTCTATAAGTAACAAATTTACATGTTTAGGCTTTTTTTAGCTGTCAAATGGAAGGGACAAATTTTAAAAGTATTCTTTATCTTTTCTAAAAAATATACATCAACCAAAATATCATTCTGTTTTTTAAATTTCGATACTTGCTTAGGTTGCACTGAAAATGATATCCCAGTAAAATCGTCATAATTTTCATTTATTATAATTTGAAATTCGATTCGCATTTTTACTTGCAGGATGTAGTGCCGACAAAATGGCCCATTTACAGCATTGGTGATCTAAATTCTTAACATTAACGCAGGTTTTTCTTTAATAACAGAACCGGGTTATTATATGTAAAAACTACCATTCATAGCCTGCTTTTTCTTTATATTTACCTCTAAATTTAAAATAGAGCGCAGAGTCTGACCGCAATTTTTTTCTTGAAATTCATCCATGTCGGTAGCAATGGGTTTCTGAACATTAATTTCAAACCATTTCTGCAAATCAGTTGTGTGAGAAATACATTTCAATTTAGTATAAAAGTACTTAACTTCAATAGTCTCTGTATCATTTTTCACTAAGACAAATTCTGCTGCTGAAACTGCATTAATTTTTAAAGCATGCTGCTGACTTAGAATTTCTGGCACCTTTCAAACAAACTCTTTTTTTGCAGAGTTCAAAAATTTTACCACATCCAAGTGCTTGCTATTCACATTAATAACAGTTTTTATACGATTCTGAAATGCACTATCAAGTTCTTTCCAGACCACAGCAGCATCATCATCATCATCATTATGGTTCGATGTAATACTAAGATCATGTCCTTGAATTTCCAATTTTTTAAAAAATGTTTCTAAAAAAGTTATTACGAGACACTCAATATTTGATAATTACTGATAGTTTTTAATGTTTCCAAGCACTATCACACAATTATCAACTTTATCTTCAATTTTTGTTGTATTTTTACCATTCAACGGTCGTTAATATTCTACTCGCACTATTTTACTAAAAGTCACAAAATTTTCTGTACAGTCAGAATTAGAAGAATTATCTAAAAGCCGCTCTATAATGCTGACACCGATTACTATCGTCCTCAAATGATTCCAATGTTGCTTTGACATATGTTTCTGTTAAAAAAATATAATATACGTATAGTGTATAAGAAGTGGTTGTAAGTAAGTAATAATGTCAGTTGATTGTTGGTTGTACTTGCTTGAAGATGGTTAAATACATGATTGATATACAAGGCTCTAAGACTATATTTAACTAACTTATTTTGAAAGAGGTAGCAATTCTGCCTTTAGAGAAAGAAGATTCTACACCAACAGTATTTATTTTCAAGCCCCCCTATTCCTGGAGCCACCTAAGGCCTGAAAATAAACTTGAAAATCTATGATTAGAACGTTATTACCATGTTTTTCTTTGGGACTCTGGAGAAGTGCCCTATGAAGATTTATTAACTACTTTTTAGTCTATTATTAAAGAGGATGACGTAATTCATGTTAAAGGACTTGAAAAAACGAAATGGTTTCATCAAGTGCTCGTAAATAGATATATGATTTATACAATCTAATGTAAAAATGTATAATAAATAGAATATAATAAATAAAAACTAAAGGACTACTTTCTCCCTCTTAGGTTCATTTACAACTTTGAAGAATGTTTGTCACTGAAACAATTTAACGTGATTTATGTAACATGTACAAATCATACATTTAAATCAACCTACTGTGCTGAGAAGATTGCTTCAGCTATAAAAACAAGTATATTAAAAAGAATAAGGCTTAACAGCTAAGCTATTCTTGATATAAGGTAAATTTATAGAAATTTAAAATACAGTCAACCAATTTTGTTCACCACCACCTAAGAGAAGTGACATTATTTTATGTGCATCAATAAAATGATCACAAAAAATTATTTATAAGTATTGATTTTTTTATCCCCATCCTCTTAAGCCGCTTTACTCATCTACTTCAGATAAGATGCTGATAATTTTAGTACGAGTATATTTTAAATATCACACATCAATATGTGTGCGTATGTGAGCTAATATACTTTGGCAGAGCTTTTCCCGTTTAACAAAGTCTATGACTTGCTCTTTCACAGACAGATACACTTTATTCCTACTTATATCTTGGCAATTAAGCCACTGTAACAGTTTACTTTTATTTATACAAAACATTTACTTAGCTCTTATCGCTTCATCTGTCCCATCTCATCCGACCGAAAGAGAGACTCCTCTTTCTAAATAGGCAAGCGCATAGTACAAAATAAACATCGTATATGTGCACTAATAAGTTAATATTTCTTATGTGTCAAAACACGCACCCACTTTTTATT